TGACCTGACCTGCCACTGCTGACCTGACCTGCCACTGTTGACCTGACCTGCCACTGTTGACCTGACCTGCCACTGTTGCACTCAGGGGTGTCAGGAACCAGCGTCAGTTCGATTCACTACTATGCTTTTGTACAGGATGAACCCCCTAGAGATCCAGTCGTACCGAACCTCTGATCCTATGGTTTTCTGTGCTTCTTCCACTGTGACATGTAGGGTGCCAGGAGGCTCCAGTCGTACCGAACTGGGTCGGTTCGGTACGACTGGATCCCTAGGGAACATGACCAGCTTCTTCAACGTGACCTGACATCCCAGTCTGACGAACCAACCTTTTGAAGCCCTAATCAGGTGACCTCAAACCAACCAACCCAAGGGATCAAGTTCGGGAAAACGAATGGAGGAACCAGGAACTATACCATAAACTATGCCTGTCCTTGGCTTTGGATGGTCTCAATCCCTGCGCGCCATGGGCGCGATCCATTAGATTCGATGGATCTCTGAGTCCAAACGACGCCTCCAAGCGCTGGACATAGGCAGCCTTCAAGGCCTCCGTCGGTGGAGATCGCGGTGGAGACCCGACTGAGAGATCGGGATCTGGAGAGGCGTTTTTGAATCAAACGTCCCTCCCACTGACATGGAAGTGGAAACCATCCTGTCTGTAGATGAATCAATTGATGCTTCTTGTCCAAAGGAACCGGAACCATCCGGGTGTCCTCTATCCAGAAAGACCAAGCAAAAAAACACTTAAAAGTTACAGTAATATCTATAGCCTCCAAGACGATCCGAAAAGGAGCTACCATGAGGCCATGGGGTACCTGGACCCATGCCTAGTGAAATCATATATGTACCCTGACGCCTGAAATCTGAGTCATCTGAGTCCCAAAAATATCGAACGGTTTCCAAGGCAGCGAGTTGGAGCCTGACCTACAAAGGTGCTCTTGGACACGACAAGAACATCTCTGAACCAATGGATGGTGGCCGAGGTGACCAGAACCTCGACAATACGCGATTCCGGTGGTTGACAGGGGCAGGAGATGGCAGGCTGCGGACAGCATGAGAATATGACAACTAGCATGCATTAACGACGACGACACTTGATGAACCATGTTGAATGGACGGTTTGGATCCATTGGCCGTTGACAAGCAAGAAATCCACTGCCCAGCCCCTCTAGTCTAGGCCCCAGATACTCAGGTCAGGTCATCCTGAAACAGGATCACACCTCAAGTTACCCGGTAGGGTACAAGACACAACGACAAGAGCCATGGCTTGCCTGGTTCTAAAGAGGATGAAAAGGAACCTGCCAGCAGCAAGAGAAGTTGAGAGACCTAAACTGGTACCCTTTTTGGTGCTACATCTGGAGCTCTAGATGGCTATAGGCAGTATAGGCTAGTTTCAACAGCGAAAAGGGCAGAAAACGGAGGTAGAGGAGGAGGATGAGGCAAGGAGGCAGTCGGAAGGCCATAAAACATCATAAAAAACCTAGGCCCGCATTCCTTCCCAGGTGGATCCAAAAAGGCAGTATAGAACCCTCTCTTCGCTTGATCCATGTGCCGTCTTAGAACCCTCAACTGCCACGCTCGTCGTGTCGTGTTTGACTGGGCACCTCTTTGGCCTTCTGCTCCTCCAGTTCCTTGGCTTCCAGCAGGGCCTCTCCGAAAAAGACACGTGCAAACAGGCAAACAGAAGCAAAAGGTGGTTGCAGAAGCTTGAAAACGAACAAAAACGAATGAGCAAAAGGTGGTGCTGAACAAGTATGTTTAGGGGTTATATTCCTTGTTCTAAGGGTTTCTGGAGCATCCAGGTTCACTTAAAAGTTGTAGTTGGCACCTGTGGGCTGCAGGGACCTAGAAAGGCGTTCAGTCTTCGAACTCAGCTACCTACAACTGCAGCACTGGATTTCCAGAGTTCAAGCCCCTGGCCAAAAATCTACAACACGCACGTAGTTAGGCCCGGTGTGTCGTGTTCTACACCACCAGTCGTCTTGTTCTCCGGACCCTCCAAAGCGCAGCTTTTTGGCAAATGCCTGGCACCCCAGGTCGGCAATGGGATCAAATTAGCACATCAAATTGTCTGCAATGATGCAAATTAAGGATGCTCCCCAGCCACCTTGTAAGATGTCCAAGTGGCATATTGGAAGCGGCATTGTACAAATACAAATGATGGGTTCCGTCTTGCATGTGGAGGGTTCTGAGGGATGAACCATAGCCATGCTGCATATGCCCAGCTGTTACACTGTATCACTGTGTTCTCGTTGCTCCAGAAAGAAAAACGGAACCCCTGGAAGACAATACTTCCTGACCCCATCTACAACATTTGCTCACTGGAGAACGCCATTGACTATGAGATATTAATGATATTAAGGAAGAAAACTGTCTTTAACGCCAAAGGACCAATTAAATATATGTTCAATTGAAAGTAAGCACGATTGCTCAGCACAGAGCTTGCTTTCAACAGAAATGCTCATCAAACAGCCTCCCCGCAGAAGTAGAAGTGTGTCTCAGCATCATCCAATGAATGTGATTTAGACATCTTCCTCGATTCTGCCCACTCCAATGTTCAATCTTCATGCATCAACTTCATCATCAGCAGCAGCCGCATCACAAATGGCTTTGCAAAAACATATCTCAAAAACATTCAATAACATCAATAACCATGCATATATTTCCAGGTCGCACTGGGAACATAACCCTACGCTGTAGCAATGGGTTCCCAAACCATGGTCGTATCACCTGCAGTGGTCCGGGCTCATCCGTCATTCCGATGTGGGCGGCAAACCAGCCACTAGAGGCAGTCCCTAGTGCTCCATGTAAGTACCTTCTGAAGATACGACTGGACCATCCAAACCGCCAGTCCCACCTTCTCAGATGGTATTTGGAGCCCCAGGGTATATATACATACCCTCTAAGAAAGACATACCTAGGGTATACATACCTAAACATTGGCCTGCTCATGCCTGCTCCTAGCTTGCTTATGGATGTCCCTGCTCTCCTGGAGATGGGAACGACCCTCGTCGCACCGGTGCGTTCGATGGTCTCCAGTCGCGCGTCGCGCCGCGTCGTGCCACGGAGGGCTCTTAGCAGGTCCGTGGCATAGAGATCTCATCAAAGGAGCGGAGAGACTTGAGGGATTCATGTACTGCAGATTCACCTGGACACCCAAAACCAATGAAAGGATATGAAAGGTTGATATATTTGGAAAATGGTCCACCTGAGGTCTGAGGTTCCAAATATACCCCTTTTTTGCGGGGGAAGTGCCTCCTCTAACTTCGCTGCCTAAGATCTCCGCTCAGACGGGCATCACTGGGCCTCTGCCCCCAAATATCCGTTTTCCAGTGCCTGAGGCTCAGGCTTCGCTAGAGCCGTCTTCGCTGAACAAGAGCCGTCACCGTCACTCGCGAGTGGTTTCGTGAAATGAACCGTTTCATGAGATGCAGAAGATCCTCAAACCACTCGAGTTCGTTCACATGGAGAACTCAGTTCGTTGCCCCCAACGTCTAAGGCTTCGTTTGCCCGTCCATTTCAACCGAGTCACCAGGACTTGGCCCAACCAAGAAGGATCAAGACCACCGCATGATCATCGGAAGGAGGCTTACCCTTCAAGGCCCACTCGATGTTTTAGGTCCTCCAAGTATAAAGGTTTGATGGGCTGATTCATCCATATGTTTTAGAATGTTTTAGATTCTTTAGGTCCCCAAAGGATTGGCTGATTGGCAAGCCTTTTTGACAGTCAAGCAATCCTGCCAGCAATCCAGTCATGCTGCTAGGGCTGCCAGTCGGGCTGCCAGTCTGGGTGGTGGGGTGGTCGGTCGAAACACCGAACATGAAGTGAAGATCCTTCAAAGTGTCGATGTTTCATTCATCCTCGCATGCTTATGGGGTCCATGGGATTGACCCTAAACGCGCCAAATTCTCTTTTCAAGCTGGCACATGTTTCAGTGAAACGTGTGATCCGGATGATCCTACAAATCAACCCCCAGCATGTTGAGACCCCCTGCAATCATCCAAGCTCCTTTTCGTGGAAGGAGATTGGGCACAAAAAGGTGTGCACTGCCTAGTTCTAGAACTAACATGGAAGTGGACTAACTATAAACTACCTGCCCCGAAAGGAAGACCCTTAAATTTTCTAGAAAACAGGGGGGTGAACTCCACTTCCATGTGAGTTCCAGGAAGAGTCATACACCAACTGTTGGCCAGGATCACATCACTTCCCGACTATCAGGGCGTCTCATCCCTACTTGTAGGGCTCCAAGTACCTCCTCAGAAGGTATGACATTATTATGACTGAACCCTGCTGGCACCCACCCCAGTCTCACCTTTTCAGAAATGTTGTGCCACCGCGGCACGTGGATAAGGGCATCAAAGCTGGTGGCACCCAAGGTGATGTCCAAGCGCTTCAATCCTTGAGCCACATCCTTCCTGCGCCAGCGATGAAGGATGAGATCTCATGTGGAATCCTCTAGCCCCAGAGTGCCAGAGTATGGGGCATGCCTCCAAAGACTCCGTCAACGTGAGCGGGAATATATATATATATATACATACAGTGAGTGCTTCTACAGCGGGCCGGAGCTTCACTTGATCTGCGCACCAGCTCTTTACATGGCCACCGATTCGGAAGATCTTCCAAATCCAGCTGCGCTGCGAAAACAATGATGTCCTTTTGGGGGAATCATCAAGGGGTCGATACCAGGTACCATATATATATATATATATATGCATATTCCCTTTTTGGGGCTCCCAGTACCTCCTGAGAAGATGGCTATGGTCGGTGTTTGGGGGGTCGAATCACTTTCGGAGATGGGGCAGGAGCCCTACAGATTGCTTCTTCGCGAACGGGAGGTCTCCCCCCATCTACCCCACAGGTCGTCGGCCATTCGGCCAGGTCGAGTGTGGACGGCGCCCGGTCCTTTCCAAGGCACCCTTGCGCTGAAGGACCTGAAAGAAAGCATAGGAGTCCTTACCAAGGTGTCGAGAGGAACAAGCGATCGGGACCCAGGTCGTGAAAAGCGGTCCATGATGGTCCATGAGTCAATTCCAGTCCCAACTGGAAGGAAGTGGAATTCACCACATGGGAAGAGGACTCCCCGGCCCTTCAAAACCTGATGTTCGAATGAATGTCTATGCAGGGCACTATGCCTAGGGAAATACCCATCTAGACATGCTATGCCTATAGTCTAGCCCTAGGGCATAAACCTTTCATTGTCTAGGCTTTCAAGCAACCGAGTCTATGCCATGCCGGATTCCAACGACCAAGGGGGTCAAGGACGGTTGGTGCCAAGCGTGACAGGAGGTGACTTACCTTTGGAGATGGGACGGGAGCCACAACAAGAGATGCTACACACCGTCTATGGCGGAACCTCCCTGCCCTGGGCTGTGCAGATCTTTTTGTATAGGACCTAAACTGAGGCGGGAGCTGCTTCGCAATGCTGCATGCCCTTTTGGTTGATCACACCTCTTCCTTGGAATCCCCAACCAATTCCACCTCCGCTTCGACCCTGGCCGTTCGCGGCCGTTCGCGGCTGACCCTCTTCGTCCCCTCATGGCCCCGACGTCCACTCCATGCCCGGCCCCTTGGTTCCAAGACGCTGAAACAGGTTGGCCATAAAGCTTCCGACCGGAGCCGATGCACTGGTTGATCTTTGCCAAGGCTTTCCTCGAAGGGTAGGTGCGAGTTTTGCGGATCATTTCCGCCCCTTTTTCTTCGAACGCAGAGGAGGGTCGTGTTTTTGGATGTCCCTATCCTATAGGGATCCAGTCGTACCTTTGAAGGCAATTGGACCCTCCAAGCCCACAAAACAGTGTCGAACACATCACCTTCTTAGAGGGTATGTGGATCCTACAAATCCACAGACCTTCTGAGGAGGTACGACTGGACCAAAAACATCGATCATCCAAGCATATGCAATATGCATGCAACAAATATGTTTTTGTTTGTTTACCAACTTGAGGCCAGAGGGGGTGAACGAAAGCTAGCCGGGCCGGGTCGTCTGCTGCTGCTGCTGCTGCTGGCCCTGGGTGGTCTGCTGCTGCTGCTGCTGCGGCGGCGGTGGGTGCTCTGCTGCTGCTGCTGCGGCGCTGGTTGGTATGCTGCTGCTGCTGCTGCTGCTGCTGCTGGCGCTGGGTGGTCTGCTGCTGCTGCTGCTGCTGGTGCTGCTGCTGCTGCTGCCGCTGCTGCGCTGGGCGCTGCTGCGCTGGGTGCTCTGCTGGCGCCGGGTCGTCTGCTGCTGCTGCTGCTGCTGGCGCTGGGTGGTCTGCTGCTGCTGCTGCTGCTGCTCTGGGTCTGCTGCTTCAGCTGCTGCTGCTCCTTTGTGGTTTGCTGCAGCTGCTTGGTGGTAGACTGCAGATGCTTGGTGTGCTGCAGCTGCTTGGTGGTCCCGCTCACCGCGCGCAGGGGGGAGTCGAACCCCGGGGGGGGGGTCCATAAGATTGATGTAATCAATTATTTGAGGTTTCTGAGGTGCGTCCACCCCGTCACTTAACTTGCTAAAGCAAGAGCAACTCCAGCTAGCTAAGGCTAGCTTTCGTGACTTCCCTCAGAATCCTTGGGCTCGCCATCGCAGGGGACCTTCTCCATCGAAACGCAGGGGTCTGGACCCGAACCAAACCCTATGTCTTGCTTCGGGCCCGGATTCTGAGGGTTGTGTAACCTGTT